ACCTTAATACTAAACCTATAAATATATGCACATAGATCTATTTCCCCTATCATCATATATAAATATATTTACATATGTACATGACTGTAATTAGACCTTTATAAATGCCCTTTGCCACCTAGTTCTTTCCTCTATTTCCTTTTACATTCCACTATCATGCTCAGCCTTCATTTGGGTTTCAGTAATTCCTCTCGGTTACACTACCCTTGATCAAGCCCTACCAGGCCTCTTGATACTCTCCTCGCCACTGATTTTGGATCATTTGTTGCTTGCTTGTCCCTGAGTTTGTTAATACCACTTCCTTTCCCCCTTTGCCATGTCCCCCGGAACTGTAGGTCCCATTATTTTCTCCTCCAGATTGTTTATCCAGCCTATCATATCTAGATAGGCCTGCAGAGATAATAATATGCACAACAACAAGATAGAGCAAAACAAAGCAACAAGATAAAACAACAACAAAAAAAAGAAAAGGCTGTAAATAGTTCAAGGTCTGTTTGTTGACCTTTAGGAATGTTTTCCAAAGTCTATTTTTGGTACTCTCTCTGGACTTCCTTGCTCTGCTGCCTTTGTTGTTCAGTTGCACGCCCTTAGTGTTTTGCCTCAGTGTGGTGGGGTCAGATCAGGCACGATTCCCACACTGTGTCTCCAGTGTTGTCCCCTGTAGGGCTATGGGTCAGTGAGGATGGCGTGTCTCATAGTGGGGTCAGCCATATGATCCTTTCTGTGCTTTGACTGCTCTGAGCAGGGTTATTGTCCTCAAGGCTTGGTGGGCCAGGATGTGCTCCATTCGCTCTTCCTCCCCCTTCATTCGCTCCTGTGTGCTCTGATCAGACATGTCTCTCTCCCTGAGCTGTAGCTTCAGTGTTGTCCTTTGAAGTAAATTCTTCTGGGGGTAGGGGCGGCTGTCCACATAGTTGGGATTTGGACCGGCCCCTCAGACCTCTCTACTGCTTCCCTGCTTCATGTCAGCATGTTGCATTCACATCTTGGAGCACCGGGTTGAAGTCTGGTTCCTCTTTCCCTGTGGAGATATAAATAATACCCTCCCCTTGGGTGGGTTAGTGCCCTGTTCCCCTGCGACCCATTTCTCTTTTTTTTTTTTCCCCTCCTTTTTAATTGGTTACCATATGTATCCCTGGATTTG